AGGTTGCAGATAAATCAGAATTTCTAGTTTAGATAGCTTCTGGTAGTCTGAGTCTTATTCTTGTAAAATTTTTGTAACTTGGCTCTGTCCAGAGAAACCCATAATGGATTCTCAATACAAAATATTAATAAAGATAAAGACAAAACTTTACCTTAAAAAAAAAAAAAAAAAGTATTTTGAGTTAACTAAAGGATTGTTTAATAAAAGACCTTTTGATTATAATAATTAATAAAATTATATAATAGTAATATATTGTATATTATATTTTTTATTTGTATTTTATATTGTCTCAGCAATAATAATTTTTATAAATAAAGAAGAAAGGTCCTAAAGTCTTTCCATGTTTTATTTTTATATGATTTTTGCAATGCAATTTGCAATTATTAATTAGTGAAGATAACAGAGTCATACCTAGTTTTCTTATTAATCTATACTTTTACAGTTACTATTTGGATTGAATTTTGATATTTATTTTCCAACATGTAAGACGATATGTTTTTGTATTGACATAATCACCACTCCCTATAAACCCTCTATATTATTTCTTATATTTTCTTTTTTATAATCTTTATTGCATATAGGACAGAGTACAGATCTATTAAAATCAAAATAATTACTATATTTAAAACTATGTTTCAAAGTTAAATAAGGAAATTGCTCTAATAATATTTTAATAACATGCTTTTGTTTCTCTTCTGGATCTTTAGATAAAATAGAAATTGATGATTGAAGTTTGGATAGTGTAGGCTGAACATTTATCTGTAGTACAAATAATGTCTTTTTTTTAGCATCCTTTTTGATTTGTGGGACTCAAAAGTTTCAGAGTTTATCTAGAAATCGAATCCAGTTTTATTCTTATACCTTTTATATAACCTAAAATGAATTTTATCTTTCAAAATATCTGGCAATTCTGTTAATTTAGCTTTTCATTCCAAATATTCAGAAGTCAATATTTTATTAGCTTTTGCCTATGTATCCATGTTCCTGTTTTATATATATGACTGCACATCTTTCTAAATTAACAATAACCAACAAAAAATAAATATGCCTCAAAAGACTTAAGCAAATTGTGCTAGTATAAGTTTAAAGTTTATACTATTACCTCAATTTTAATTTCACACTGTTCATATTTAATATAATATAATCCAACTTCATATCTGACTCCTATACCATTATCATCATTATGATCTAACTTGCATAGCAGGCATAAAGATTCATCAGTAATTCTATAATAATCGTTGTTTCTATTACTACCTTCTTAATATAAATTAAGATATTAATCTAATGTTTTGTTGTAAAAATAGGATCGGTCATAAGTTGGATTAACTGGAGTATTTACCTTAGTCTTCAGTAAAGATTTGTTATCCTCACTTATCATATCTTCCAAACTAGGTGTATGAGATGATTCAGTAGATATACTTAATATTTAATACATCTTTCAAGCTAGATGGATTGGTCATATGATTTTTGTTATTACTCAGATTAAATTCAGATTTTAAAGTGGATTCTGTCACGTGAGTGCGAGACCTTTGGTCACACACTAATATTTTGGTAGTATAATAGTTTATAATTACATTAATTTGTTTATCAGTTAGCTTTGAAAGTTTATTTGCACTATAAGATTTAATTTGACTAATTTTATCTTCTCCAATTGCACTAAATAATTTATATATAGGTTTAGTTCTTTGAGTTCTTTTGTGTAAGCTTACATGAGAAATACCTAAAAGATACTGTAGCATTTCATCATAAATTTCCCTACTTGCTAAATCACAAGCTCGTTTATCATTTCTTTTATTTTTAGGTAAATTATTAAACCTTTTTTCAAAATGCTTTTTATATTTATACCAGCTTCTAATTTTATCTACCTTAGCTTGTATAGTAATGATTTCTGCAAGACTTATTTTTTTAAATAGATGAACCAATTTGATTGTAGGTGAATTATTAATAGAATCCTCTATATTAACGATTTTGATATAATCTTCTTTTAAAGTTTCTAGAAATAATTCCTGTATCAAAGATTGTATATCTATTTTAGATTCTTTTATTTCTTGTATATCAGTATTTTGTTCTGAAGAGACAGTCTCTAGGCTCTACCTTTTCTAAATTTTAATAATTATATGATAAATTGAATGATTTTAATATAAGGTCTTGAGATCTAAGCTTTTCCCGATTTCTTTCTCTAATCTTATTGCTAATATGCTCTTTATGTACTCGTTTCAAAAAATTTGATCTCTTTATTCTTATAAGGTTTAGTTTCTAAAAAAGTGTTATTGCAAAACAATGGGGCTCTGCCACTATTAAATATGTCAGAATCTGGGACATCATTAAATTCATCAAAATTTGAAGTGTTATCAACTATATTATATACAGAAGTTTCATCACATTGCAAGTCTATCTGCTTAGAACTATCATCTTGAGAACTTTGTTCCAAATTTTTAAATGAAATATCTTCTGTAGAAAGTATATCCTGAGTATTAGTAACAATTTAATCTTTCTTTTTGATTTCCTCAATATCATTTCTTAATTTCATTACTTTATCTTTAAGGTTTATATTCTCTTTGTTACTTTGTTCTAATTTCTTAATTCTAATCTCATACTCAGCTTCACATTTGGCATTTTCTTCTATAGCCTGTTTTAATCTTGTGTTCTTGGCCTTGATATTAACATTCTCTTTTCTAAGCTTATCAATCTCAGTTATGAGCCTGGAATTTAATTCTCTCAATGAATCATCTTTAGATTGCATGTTTAATATCAATTTATATAATTTTCTCAGCTCCACTGGCACAACCAAAAATAATTGGAAGAATATTGAAAATATTATTTATTAATTAATACCTTTAATTTCAAATAAAAATCACAAGTGCGTGACTTTTGGTCCCGCTAATCACTTTTTTTTTGCCAAGAAAAATTTTAAAAATTCTCGATCATATGCGAGTTAATATACATCGATATCAAATAAATTCGCGAAATATACACACAAAAGTAAACATGATTCTGTATGCGAAATTCGACCACTAGGGTCAGCTTTATTAATAATTGACTATACAGCGATAATAATGACATGCTAAAAAATAATATAATAAACTACAGCATTTGTTTTGTTCGATCTACACTCCTTACCAACCAACATACTGTACATGCTATCACATATCCATTAAATTTATATAAACAATCTTATTACTCCTCCATTTTGTATACCATTGGATCCATGCGTTTAATTATCATCATTTTTTCTTGATCCCCTCCCCCCATCGTGGGATCAACCCAAGCAGACAATAAATGCTTAAGGTTATTTGTGAGATCGTTAACCATGACCGTTGATGAAGGTGTGGAATCAGATTTATTCTGCCCTAGGCACTTGTAAATGTTCGAAGATAATCCAAATAATCCAAGTGAAATCTGAAAATGCTCTCGGAATGCGTTGATTTCGGCATCTGAAGCACGTGAATCTTCCTTATTTTCAAGTCTAATCTTCTTGATGAATTCTTTTCTTGTTTCTTTAGCATCCG